TAGTAGGCAGGGTGGTTAGGTCGGTGCTGTCCGGCCCGGTGTTGTGCTCTAGCAATGGCACTCGACAGGGGTGCCAGTTGTTACCGTCAAGAGTTTTCCACAACAGGTGTGGAGACACAGGACTTTCATGTTGTTGGAAGAGAAGGCTACTTCTCTCCATGCCACCTCCTGTCTGTGAATGCCTCATGCCTGGTCTTGGATCAGTCTCTGATAGTGAGGGTTATTGACTAAATGAGGAGTGGTGGCTGTTGGGGTTGGATGAGCTGGAGTAGACAATGTTTGTGGACTGGAGTAGATTAGAGTGGTACTAGGCGGTGCCCACCCTAGTAGTGGAAAGAGGGGGCCTGCATTTACAGAGGGAGGGGGGTTCTAGTAGTAGCCTGGGTTAATAGGCCTCCTTCTGCGTGTGCATCTGTTCCTGGATCTTTGTGAGCATCTCTTGCATTCGCCGCAACTGTGGAGAAAAGAGACAAGAGGCCGCTGTTAGTCAAACACCCGGGACATGAAGCAATACAAAACAACACAGAATGAAGTGGGGACTGTGGAGATGCTCACAGGCTTTAGGAACTCTCATACCAATAACCAAGCGCTATCCAATCACAACAAAGCCAGCTATGTGACAACAGATCATCTACTCTCACCAGACTCTCAGATTATTGAGTCATATTGATGGATTCCTATAATGCTAAACCCTACTTCTGCATTTGCAGAGATCTGAACCAGATCTGATTGTCTTAGAACACTACAAATGCGGAAGTAGCGATTATCTACATTTCATGACTGCAATGTAGGTGGCCTGGAACGCAACCATTACTTCCACATGACTGCACCAATAACCAAGCCCTATCCAATCACAACTAAGCCAGCATTGCTGACAGACAACCGATCGATACGATTTGCCACCCCTGTCTATTCTGTCTTTAGACCATGTGACCCGATGATGATGGACGCGTGTGTTCAGTCATGTATACAGTCATAGTGTAATGAGTGAATGACATAGGCTGTAGGTGGCCTGGAACACGGCCATTACTTCTACATCACTGCACCAATGACCAAGCCATATCCACTGACTAACTAGCCAGCGGAGGACAACTGATTGATATGATTTGCCACCCCATTCTACTCTGTCTAGAGACCATGTGACTGAGGCTGGTGACTGTGTGTGTGTTCACATTACATACACATTCATTTCTGTAATTACTACACGCAGAGCCTAATAATTAAATACTGTTATATGCAGTATGAGTGTGAAGGATATGGCACACTATTATTTGCCCTTCATAGCATCCCCCCAATCCCACACACATATCAAAATAGGATGAAATTATGGTGACAGTTTTGTGTTTCCAACATTTTAATAATGGGAAGGGTTACATACCAAAAATGAGGAAATAACAGAAAATAAGGTATTATGTTTTTAATGGCTCATGTCATTCAGGGGGGAATCTACCTTGAGATGCACAAGCTAAACTCAAGCTGCGCAGGTGGGTCTCAGGGTAGGCCTCGGGCATCAGATTCCAATCTCAGGTTAGGGCATTTTTGTTAAAGTATTGTTGACCTTAAAGAACCTTATCAGCTTTTAATCAGAAAATGTATATATAAATAATATAAATAAATAATTATATGAAATTGGCACCATGGTGCTTTCGGACAGGAACAAACTCAAACAGGGAGAAGAGAACCATACGAGGGCTTCTTTCCATCTACAACACTACTCTACCCAGGCAGCGCAACCTGGCATTTTATATTCTACTGTCAGACCTGGGTTCAAATAGTATTTGAATATAAAACATTATTTGGACCCAGATCTAATCGTCATGTGCACCCCAGGGCTGGGTGCTGTTGTAGGGGTGCTGTTGTAGGGGCCAACTGTCAGCCCTAACCCCTGACCCTTCCTCAGACCAGACCACCATCACCCCACCTGACTGGGGTCTTCAGGGGCACCTGCATGTATGGATGGAATGTATATACTATTTGATTGACAGCCTGGAGGACTCAAGAGGCCTCAGGTTCAGGTCCTGGGTCTAGGCCCGGGTCAGAGTGGCGTTCTAGGGGTGGGTCTGAGTGCTCATTGTGACCGTGGCCGTGCTCTGGTTCGTGCTCTGAGTGTCGTCGTTGTACCTCTTCGTCTTTCTCTCGGATCAGCGTCTCTGTGTCTGTGGTACTTGGTATTACAGGGATGGGGAAGTCTGTGCCGCTCTCCCTGGTCAGTTTACTACAGGAGTAGATTGGGGAAAGACAATATGGTTAACAGTATGTGGGTGTATATGTTGTTAGAGTTTGTGACTATATGTTAGTGTGAATTGTACTTGAGCTACATTATGTTTGTATATGAGTAACAATACATGCAGCATTAAGACACCTGATCCAAGCTATAAACAACACAAGTGACAGTGTGTGAGTTCCTGGTCTGTGTGTGTGTCCGTACTTGCGGTTGCGTTCCTTCACCACCATGCGGGTCATGCTCTGGATGCAGTGAGCCCTGTAGTTCTCATAGTGGGTCTCCCGTGTCACATCCTTCAGATCCTGCATGTGTGTCCTCACCAACATGTTCCTCAACTTCACAAAGTCACAGTGCGCTGAGTTCTCCACTGGCAAAAGTAACATAGTGTGTGTTATGTTAGGGCAGTGTTTCCCTAAACCTAACCCTTCATGTCCACACCCTGGTTCAACCCTAGCTTCATGTCCACACCCGGTTCACCCCCAACCCTAACCCTCAACCACATCCACAACCCTAGCGTCATGTCCACATCCCGGTTCAACCCTAACCCTCACCCACAACTCTGGCTTCATGTCCATATACCAGTTCAACCCTAACATATTAAGACCCCCACACACAAGAGCTACATAATAATGGTGTAAGAGGGTTACCTTCCACGATGCCCCAGGGGTAGAGACGACCCCGGACCCTCTTCCCTTTGGCCTCCACCACCGTGTTGCTGCCGATCACTGCAAACGGTATACTGTCCTGGAGGAGGGAGACAAGAGAGGTGAATTTGAATGACGTGAATAAGTCAAAACGAGGGTCTCTCTCTCTCTGCAGGAGAGCGAGTCGAGAGAGAGCGAGAGAGCGCGAGGTAAAGAGAGAGAGAGAGAGAGGGAAGCGAGAGAGACGAAAGGCAGAGGAAGAGAGGGAGCAGAAGAGAGAGAGAGAGAAGAGAGCTAGAGGAGCGAGATCGAGAGCGCGGAGATAGAGAGGCGAGCGCTCGAGCGAGCGGCGAGCTCGCTCGCTAGCTCGTCAGCGCGATAGCTCTGCTCTATATATATATTGTGCGCTAGCTATCTGCGCGACGCGCTCTCTCTCTCTCTCTCTCTCTCTCTCTCTATGCTGCCGCTCTGTATCTCTCTCTCTCTCTCTCTCTCTCTCTCTCTCTCTCTCTCTCTCTCTCTCTCTCTCTCTCTCTCTCTCTCTCAACATTGCCAAAGCAAGTGAAGTAGATAGTAAACAAAAGTCAAATAAACAATAAATATTACCAGTAAACATTACACTCAGAAGTTTCAAAAGAATAAAGACATTTCAAATGCCATATTATGTATATATACAGTGTTGTAACAATGTGCAAATAGTTAAAGTACAAATGGGAAAATAAATAAACATAAATATTGGTTGTATTTACAATGGTGTTTGTTCTTCACTGGTTGCCCTTTTCTTGTGGCAATAGGTCACAAATATTGCAGCTGTGATGGCACACTGTGGTTTTTCACCCAGTAGATAAGGGAGTTTATCAAAATTGGGTTTGTTTTCGAATTCTTTGTGGTTCGCTGTAATCTGAGGGAAATATGTGTCTCTAATATGGTCATACATTTGGCAGGAGGTTAGGAAGTGCAGCTCAGTTTCCACCTCATTTTGTGGGCAGTGTACACGTAGCCTGTCTTCTCTTGAGAGCCAGGTCTGACTACGGCGGCCTTTCTCAATAGCAAGGCTATGTTCACTGACTCTGTACATAGTCAAAGCTTTCCTTAGGTTTGGGTCAGTCACAGTGGTCAGGTATTCTGCCACTGTGTACTCTCTGTTTAGGGCCAAATAACATTCTAGTTTGCTCTGTTTTTTTGTTTGTTCTTTCCAATGTGTCAAGTAATTCTCTTTTTGTTTTCTCATGATTTGGTTGGGTCTAATTGTGTTGTTGTTGTTGTTGTCCTGGGGCTGTGTGGGGTCTGTTTGTGTTTGTGAACAGAGCCCCAGGACCAGCTTACTTAGGGGACTCTTCTCCAAGTTCATCTCTCTGTAGGTGATGGCTTTGTTATGGAAGGTTTGGGAATCACTTCCTTTTAAGTGGTTATAGAATTTAACGGCTCTTTTCTGGATTTTGATAATTAGCGGGTATTGGCCTAATTCTGCTCTGCATGCATTATTTGGTGTTTTACGTTGTACACGGAGGATGTTTTTGCAGAATTCTGCATGCAGAGTCTCAATTTGGTGTTTGTCCCATTTTGTGAATTCTTGGTTGGTGAGCGGACCCCAGACCTCACAACCATAAAGGGCAATGGGTTCTATAACTGATTCAAGTATTTTTAGCCAGATCCTAATTGATATGTCAAATTTTATGTTCCTTTTGATGGCATAGAAGGCCCTTCTTGCCTTGTCTCTCAGATCGTTCACAGCTTTGTGGAAGTTACCTGTGGCGCTGATGTTTAGGCCGAGGTATGTATAGTTTTGTGTGTGCTCTAGGGCAACGGTGTCTAGATGGAATTTGTATTTGTGGTCCTGGCAACTGGACCTTTTTTGGAACACCATTATTTTTGTCTTACTGAGATTTACTGTCAGGGCCCAGGTCTGACAGAATCTGTGCAGAAGATCCTCTCTCTCTCTCTCGTCACAGACACGGCTCTATGAGGGGGAGAGACTGAGACACCATTTCATCTCTGATCTGGGTTTCCTATCCTAGCATTTCTGTATTGCAGACAGGTTGTTTATGATGACCAGTGTCCTTTATGTTGTTATACTTCCTCAACTGGTGATGTGAGGTTTGGATAAATGTGGTTCACCTTGAGCTCCTGATCCTGCTGTTTGAAGTCCTCATCCTCATCAGAGTCACAGTCTGGAAACTGGTAGATCTTAATCCCATATTGCTGGATCTCCTCTCGGATCTACAGGAAGATGGGAGGGCAGTAGGGACAGAGAGAAGAAGATGGAGAGAGGGACAGAGAAAAGAGGAGAACATTAAACTACTGTTTGGAATCCTGTGATTGAGGATGGACAAAAAAACAAGGAGCAAAAAAAAAAATCAATCAAAACGGTCACCTGGAAATAAAAATGTTTTAGAAATTTACTGAAATCAATGAACCCTGTCAATTTCTTATTTGTACAGAGCCATGGTCTTCAGACAAGCAGACACAGATGGAAAAGCAAGTTAGAGAGGTCTTGCCTTGAATTTCTTTTTCTTGACCTCGGTGGGTGTGAGTGTGTCTGCCTTGGCCAGGATTGGCACAATGTTGACCTTCTCATGAAGGGCCTTCATAAACTCCACATCCAGAGGCCTCAGACTGAGACAGATACAAGACAACAAGATATGATAGATATAATTTTACAGACTAAATGACCAGAGCAACTTACAATTAGGGACAACAACTCAACACTAAGAAAACAACCAAAACACACATGTGGAAACATGGGCATAGACAACACTGCCAAAACCTGGATAAGGTTAAGAGATAAAGGGATAATTATGGTAATGCAAATTAAGGTAATCCTCATTAAACCATATTTTCAAGGATAGTAGTAGTAGAAGTAGTAGTATCTAATAGTGGTCAGCAGAGGGAGTAATCTCCTTATTACAGGTTTGCAGCAGTGCTTCAACACTACTGAAGGTGCTAAAGGTTTCTCCCTTCAGTGAACACAGCGGTGTGAAACAGACCGTAAACTCAGACGAAAGTACCGCATCAGCATTTACCCCAACGATTGGAGAGAAAGTTTAGTACTGCAGCATCTGCCCCTCAAAATGGATAGAACATTTAGCACTGCACCAGATGCAGATTTCCCTGGAGGCAGCAGAGCAAGGGTAGTTCTAGATTCCAGGGAAACCCAATGCATTTAGAATGCATGGAACATGGTGCATAGTGGAAAGCCTATCAGTGGTAGTGAAGGAAGGTAGAAGGGGAAAGGAAACTATTCTAAGAGTATTGAGACACAGCCAATATGTCTATCTCAATAGAAGAAAGGACTCCATTTAAAGAGTATTGAGACAGAGACGACATGTCGTAGCTGACGTACCCGTGTCCAAAGGGAGAGATGAAGTAGAGGCAGCAGTGGACTCTGTTATCCTGGATGTTCTTCCTGTTCAGTCCACTCTCGTCCCTGAAGTACTGCTCAAACTGCTGGTCGATGTAGTCCGCCACTGACTTCCAGCTAGGGCGGTGGGGAAAACACAGAGACACACCAGCACTGAGGCAATACTGCAGAGACAGCCACCCTACAACAACTAACCATACCAACCCTAACCCACTGACTTCCAGCTAGGGCGATGGGAGAGAGACAGAGACACACCAGCACTGAGGCAATCCTGCAGAGACACCCACCCTACAACAACTAACCATACCAACCCTAACCCACTGACTTCCAGCTAGGGCGATGGGAGAGAGACAGAGACATCAGCACTGAGGCAATGCAGACAGTCATTCTCCTACTGTATACTGAGCTATACTGCAACTGTACCTCAAACTGACATCAAAGAAGAGTTCTATGGAGGAAGGATGTTTGACATATACCATTCAGTGTTATTGACAGCGTCTCCAAAGCCAGGGGTGTCTACGATGGTGAGCTTCAGCTTGACACCCTTCTCCTCAATGTCCACTGTGTGTTTTGTGATCTCCACTGTCTGAGTGATCCGCTCTGGGGTTAAAACACACACATTTCCTTAGCAGCTGGCCAGTTATATCATTCATTCATTTATTCAGAAGATGAAACACCAAAATGGCTGCCTCACCCTCAGCGTTAAGTAGCTTCCTGTCCTTGTAGAGGTCTGTGAGGAAGAGGCTATTGACCAGGGTGGACTTGCCCAGACCAGACTCCCCTGCTACCATCAGGGTGAAGTCAAAGCCCTTCTTGACAGACTTACGGTGCACCTGGTTTGGCAGTGTGGCAAAGCCCACGTATTCCTTGTCTTGGTCCTAAGAAAGCAGGAGAAACACAGACGCCATTTTAAACAAACTGTTAAATTCTGCTGGCGGCATATTTGCGAGTTACAGTAATCTTTCCAAATAAAAAGGTAATACCTATCACACATAAATACATGTCTTTCAAACTTAAAGGCATTTCACCAGATGTAGGGTGTTGAATGAAGCCATTGTCAACACACAACTATCTTTGACCAACATCAATTTCAAAGCGAAAGCCACAAACTGAGTCATCGGTCAGACACAATCAAAGTTCCCAAGTAAACATCACTGGAAATGGCCTGAACCTGCTGCTAGTGCTCCTCTGAGGCTAAAGCACAGACACTTTGGACTGGAGAGGTGAAAACCCAACCCACGTTGCCCATAGTGCTGCCTCTGGTCTCCCCAAGGTCCCCCTGGCCTGAAGTTTACCTCTGGAAAGTCGTAGGGGTCAAATCGGCCCCAGGGGCTCTTGGGTCTGGTGGGACTGAGGGGAGACTGCATGTCATAGTGATCCACCATCCCACCTCCACCCAGCTGCAGCCTCCCTACACCCTGGTTGTCTGACTGGGCCCTGCCACCCGCCGTGGGGGGGCGCAAAAAGGGTGGGGTCCCAGGGGTGGGCGTTCCGGGGGTGTTGGGGGGGCTGTCGCCACCCTCCGCCTCCCTGTCCACCGGGTGGGGGTGCTCATGGTCAAAGCTGTGCTCATAGCCGGGTGGAGGTGGGTGGGGCTGTGGATGGCCCCCATTGTGGTGGGGGTCTTGTTGCATGATGTTCTCCAACTCAGAGTCTTCAGAGTCATCCTTGGAATGGCTTGAGTGCTAAGGGGGAGGGGGCCAGGGAACGGTACGGGTGCGTGTTTTCCAGGTGGGTGGGAGAGGTGATGCAGAGAAGAGTGGACGGAGGGGAGTAAAGGTTGGAGCAGGAGGGAGAATAATATAGATCGGAAGGAAAACGAGGAGCGAAGGTAACAGGGGCAACATAAGGATCAACAGGAAAGAAAGAAGAAAGTGCAGAGTGGTTAGAATCACTGAATGTTTTGATGGAGAGAAACAACCTAAGAAATCATTAGTATAAGTGCAAGGTAGGCCTAGTTCTCTAGGGGTTAGAACATATTTACACTAAGAGACAGCGAGGAAAGAAAATATTGACTGACATTCAATAGAGACCACCAGAGAAGCTACAAGATTAACAACATAAGAGGATAAATACAGTGAGGGGAAAAAGTATTTGATCCCCTGCTGATTTTGTACGTTTGCCCACTGATAAAGAAATGATCAGTCTATAATTTTAATGGCAGGTTTATTTGAACAGTGAGAGACAGAATAACAACAAAAAAATCCAGAAAAACGCATGTCAAAAATGTTATAAATTGATTTGCATTTTAAATGAGGGAAATAAGTATTTGACCCCCTCTCAATCAGAAAGATTTCTGGCTCCCAGGTGTCTTTTATACAGGTAACGAGCTGAGATTAGGAGCACACTCTTAAAGGGAGTGCTCCTAATCTCAGCTGGTTACCTGTATAAAAGACACCTGTCCACAGAAGCAATCAATCAATCAGATTCCAAACTCTCCACCATGGCCAAGACCAAAGAGCTCTCCAAGGATGTCAGGGACAAGATTGTAGACCTACACAAGGCTGGAATGGGCTACAAGACCATCGCCAAGCAGCTTGGTGAGAAGGTGACAACAGTTGGTGCGATTATTCGCAAATGGAAGAAACACAAAAGAACTGTCAATCTCCCTCGGCCTGGGGCTCCATGCAAGATCTCACCTCGTGGAGTTGCAATGATCATGAGAACGGTGAGGAATCAGCCCAGAACTACACGGGAGGATCTTGTCAATGATCTCAAGGCAGCTGGGACCATAGTCACCAAGAAAACAAATTGGTAACACACTACGCCGTGAATGACTGAAATCCTGCAGCGCCCGCAAGGTCCCCCTGCTCAAGAAAGCACATATACAGGGCCGTCTGAAGTTTGCCAATGAACATCTGAATGATTCAGAGGAGAACTGGGTGAAAGTGTTGTGGTCAGATGAGACCAAAATCGAGCTCTTTGGCATCAACTCAACTCGCCGTGTTTTGAGGAGGAGGAATGCTGCCTATTACCCCAAGAACCCCATCCCCACCGTCAAACATGGAGGTAGAAACATTATGCTTTGGGGGTGTTTTTCTGCTAAGGGGACAGGACAACTTCACCGCATCAAAGAGGCCATGTACCATCAAATCTTGGGTGAGAACCTCCTTCCCTCAGCCAGGGCATTGAAAATGGGTCGTGGATGGGTATTCCTGCATGACAATGACCCAAAACACACGGCCAAGGCAACAAAGGAGTGGCTCAAGAAGAAGCACATTAAGGTCCTGGAGTGGCCTAGCCAGTCTCCAGACCTTAATCCCATAGAAAATCTGTGGAGGGAGCTGAAGGTTTGAGTTGCCAAAAGTCAGCCTCGAAACCTTAATGACTTGGAGAAGATCTACAAAGAGGAGTGGAACAAAATCCCTCCTGAGATGTGTGCAAACCTGGTGGCCAACTACAAGAAACATCTGACATCTGTGATTGCCAACAAGGTTTTTGCCACCAAGTACTAAGTCATGTTTTGCAGAGGGGTCAAATACTTATTTCCCTCATTAAAATGCAAATCAATTTATAAAATGTTTGACATGCGTTTTTCTGGATTTTTTTGTTGTTATTCTGTCTCTCACTGTTCAAATAAACCTACCATAACAATTATAGACTGATCATGTCTTTGTCAGTGGGAAAATGTACAAAATCAGCAGGGGATCAAATACTTTTTCCCTCATTGTATTTGTGCTGATGGGAGGAATGCCGACGTCAAATGCCGGGGAAGAAGAGATCCGTGATGGCCGTCAAACTGATAACAAGCACAACCTCCGATTCTGACGCGAGAGAACACACTCACTCTGTCCAATACAATATAGAGCGCCAAAAATATAACCTATATGTCAAAGGGCCCTTCGCTAGAGTAGATAACTCATATCATAATTGTAGTATTAGTATTTTATTAGGATCCCCATTAGCTGTTGCTGAAGCAGCAGCTACTCTTCCTGGGGCCCACACAAAACATGACATAATACAGAACATTAATAGACAAGAACAGCTCAAGGACAGAACTACATAATTGACCTTCCTGAACTTCTAGGAAATGGGAGGATATATCTTGTTTAAAGTGTAGTGCCATAGCAGCTGGCTGAAAAGATTGTCCCTGCTCAGCAGATTCAGCCTTGGTATGTAGACTCTGGAGTCTGGGTGGCACCCTATTCCCTATGGACTCTGGTCAAAAGTAGTGCACTATATAGGGAATAGTGTGCCATTTGGGACGCAAGCTGGGACATCACAATTCAATAGAAGGTACAGTACTGTAGCCACATGGATGATAGAGTGGAGGAAACCGTTTAATAGGTTAGGACAGGAGGCACTGCCAGACTGCACAGATAATAGAAACGTCATGACACCACATCTGGGTCGCGTTTGTGTGCACTTCTTTCTCCACAACCAAATATGGTTTCAGCTGATAGAGTAGAGCTAAAGCAAATTAACCTCTAAATGATTAATGAACACTCTTGATTACTAGATGACTACTCAAATTAACTGCTGTGGTATATGGTGTCTCACGAACACACACTTTATTACATCAACAAGGACTCAACCTTGGACATCTAATGGGTGTGTCACTCTCAACACATATTGGTAGACAGAGGAAACCTGATAAAAACCTGTTGGTGTTAAACATGTCACCTCAAAATGTCATTTACACAGACTGATCAATTTGTGGCCCCAAGGTGGTGATTAGTAACAGCACTCTCATTTTCAAATCTACCTAAACCTGTCAATCATAACTACATTTTTTCCTTCCCAAACCACAAGAGTAAACCATCTACCTTAACTGATGACAATACCTACAATTCATGAGACCAACAAAGGCAGAGCCCCTGTCTGTAGCTGAACTTGTAAAGAGATATCCCTCCCTGGAGTTCCCAGACTAGAGACTGGTGCTTATGTCGTAAAGACTGTTGCTCATATTACCACAGCTCTCCTCGCCATGCCCCAGTCTGTGTAAAGAATCACCAGCCTGCTCCACTATAAATAATACAGTGGTTTTGAAATGGCTAGGAGGCTGTTTTAGCTCTAAAGGAACAATAGTAATGAGTGTAAACTGGAGTTGGATAACGGAGTTATCGTACCATATCTCTGCTCAATAGTGATCTTAAGTTTTGAAAGCGGACATGGAGTCATGATGATACAATGCTGTTCTTCTAGGTTTTAGCTCTGTGAACAGACACACAAAACGCCTATTGGGCCTCCTTTCTTTGGATCAGTAGTAAAAAACTCTGAACTTTTTTGCACAAATAACTGGTTCAAACAGGAACTAGTAAACTGAAAAGTAAACTAGTGAACTACAAAGGGGTTCTAAACACGCGGACAATTAACTTTAAAATGTTCAAGTACATGGTTGCCAGTCCTTGGTATGTATGAATCTTAGATTGTCCTTCCACATGGTTCTCAGGATAATAACAGGAGATTATCCCTGCATGCCGACAGAGGGCTGATTGTGGTTCCACTGTACATATGGAGCGCAGCATTATGAAACATCCTGCCACAACAATATCACTATGTTGTGTGTGACACTTAAGAGGGGATAGGGCTTAGGAGGGGGGATATGAGGATTTCCTGGGGGGGGGGGGGGGGGGGGGGGGGAATATGTCAAATACTTCAAGGTATTTGAGGTGCACTTGATTTAGCTTGGAATTTTTAACTTTTTGGACTATTCCATTTGTTTAATTCATTGTGCCAGTCCAACTAAATCAAGCACAGCAGCTCAAATATTTGGAAAGTACTTGGCATATTTCTTTGACCCATATCTGGTCTGGTCACTGGTACCTGTTCGGCCTCATGGTGGTGGTCCCTGGTGTGGTCAGGGGATGGCGGGGCGGAGTCCTGGTCATCTGATGATGAGTGAGCCTCATGGTCACTGTCCTCCATTGCTACTGGGGCTACAGTGCACTCTGCCATCTCCAACCAGGAGGGAACATGCATTTGGAGTGCAGAGGGGCGGGGCAGGGAACAGGGAAGTAAGGTTTGGAAGAACCAATCAGAACGAGGCATGGGGAATGGTGATGGAGGGAGTGGAAGGGTAGGTTGACGTGACAACAGGATAGCGTTGTGTGATGGCGTTTTGTGTAGAACGGACCAGTACAAAAGGGTTGAAAGAAAAACAAAACACAAATTAAAAAAAATCATAAAATGTTTAAATAAACTTGAATTAAAAGAACAACGAGTGAGTAGTGAGACACAGACGTCTGGATCCAGCCGTAGGAAATTACATGGCTGTTGGATGCCAGAGTAAGCAACATGGCTGTCCACTGGAGTAGCCCACAGGGTGATTGAATTGTATTCAGAGTGGTGTGTGGAAAGAATTGTTTCAGCAATGTCCAGAAATAATGTTGGTATGGGCAGGGATCTATTCCGTCTGGCCATTCCACTCCAGCAGCACTCACAGCCTAATGTTGTTTATTTGTCCAGCTGCACTTAGTTTAACTGATTCTGATATCTTCTCATTCAGGGGGTCTAACAATGCACTGTTACTGAAGCAGATTAAATTAACTGATCCGGCTGCAGTTGCATCAGGTAGAGTGGAAATGTCTTTACTGAAAATAAAAATAAAAATACATATACATACTCAGAGTTCAGAGCAAGGTTCTTCTAAGAGTTTATATCAGTGTTCTCCCAACAAGGTTTTCCAAGTCACCCAACAAGGTTTTCCAAGTCATCCCAACAAGGTTTTCCAAGTCATCCCAACAAGGTTTTCCAAGTCATCCCAACAAGGTTTTTCATGTCATCCTCACAGTTTTAATTACACAGGGATTGGGATTAGGAGCTCAGGGGCAGAGAGGACAGAGAGGAAAGGAAATGAATAGTCTCTCAGATTAGAGGACCATTGACCTGTTTTCTTCTGGTCTGGTTTGCTCTGACCAAACCACACGATGGATCAATGTCCAATCTACTGCCCAACATGGACGACCCACCGTGTGACCCAGTTAACAGCGTCCCTGGTCAATAACAACCAACACTATCAACTCTGGAGCAGATATGTGTGTGGAATGGTTCTCAGATCAAACATTTCTAAATCCTTTACTTGGCACAGTGAGAATAATTGTCAGATTCTGAACACTTCTCTGCTCTACCATTTAAAAACTTGAAGGACAAGTCTGCCCCTCACTTGAACTGCAGAGAATCCACCACTTGGAAGTGAGTAGATTGATGACATATATCTAAAGAGAATGCAGTCTTTGTAATCAATGATAAAACAATTAAACAACAATCCAAACTTACAAAAAAGTTTAGTTTATAAGAAATTAACTAATCCTGGGTGTACTCCAACTAGACTCGATTTTTACGATGTCCTTAACTAAAAAGACCTCAAACTCAATTTAAAAAATCCTCTTCAGGACAATAACTCACCTGTTCTCCTGCAGTACCTCACCTGTGTTACCCTGTATGAGATGTAACAGCCTTGCTCACTTGCCTCCTCTAAACCAGCTCTTCATGCCCTTACCGGGAGCCGGTCTGGAGTGGCCAGCATCCCCTGCCTATATACCCCTCTGAATCAGGACACTGTGTCCTTCAGCCCCATCGAGCTGCCTGGCTGCCCCACCGCCCTGGGGCTCCTAGTCCTATCAGCCACATAGACATGAAATCCATCCACGGTTCACAGGATCAGGCTGTCCAAACCACACCATGCCAATAACACAAACTCATTCTACATTTTAAGGCCACTCATCTCTGGTTACGCTGCCTGAAAAGCCCAGGTGTATCAGTTGGGCTGTCAGGCACTGGAGTGTGTGATTATCTTTACTATTAAAGTCTTAGGAGACCGCAGCCACAGCGGAAATGGATTTAAGGGATGACGATCAAGGAATTTCACTGTAGATGGATGGAACTCTCCTCTCTTTACCCGCCTGGCCTGCCTGCCTGCCTGCCTGCCTGGCTTCCAAAAAACACTGCTGTCTCATGAAGTCTTTATTCGACAGTTTGACATAAAGTGAGAAGAAAAGAGATGGCATATCAAGGGAGGGAGAGAAAACAGATAGAAACCAAGAGTGAGAGGAGAGAGAGAAAAAGAGAGCGATAAAAGAGGAAGAATCTCAGATGAACAATAGCGGCAGCAGAACAATAGTGGTAGTGACGGTCAGGCAGCAGAGTTGGACTGATGACATCACCCAGTCAGCCTGCCTGGGCAGCACGTCCATCATGGCTACTTGGCATGCCTGGCAAAGAACACTCTGGAGTGGGTTAACCTTGGGATTACTGCCCCCCTCCACCCTCTTGCATTGCTGCAGGATATGAGGATGGAGGGAGGAGAGAGGGCAAACAGGATCGTTTATTCTCCGCTCTGTTAATGTACAGCTCAATCTAGAGAGGTTGGGTAGCATCAGTCACCCACACATGCTTTCCTTCTGAGCCTTCATCTCCCTTCTACCAATTCTCTACCCTGTCCCAAGTGTGTACTTGTTCACTTGCCTTCATGGGAGACACACATACACTAATGACTTTACAGAGTTATGCATTGAACTGCTGAAACCCCCAAACCCAAATACTAGGCCTATTACTCAACTGTGTTTAGAATAATTCCATCCATTAATCTGACTGATTCTCTCTTACTGTATGTAGTCTACTCTCCCTTTCTTTTTTTAAGGAATTGAGGTTATTTTATTATGTTGAACCCATGATAAGCACACCAACGTGATCTAAAGGAAAGTCCCATGGGATAACCTCAATTCCTTAGACTACAAAGGGAGAGTCGACTACAGTGCTTTGTTGGGAAAATACGTTGGACATTTATGAGACTTTCCTTTAGAGCACTTTGGTGTGCTTATCATGGGTTCAACATAATAAGATTACTCTCCCTTTCTTTTTTTAAGGAATTGAGGTTGACTACATACAGTAAGAGAGAAATCAGTCAAACTGAATTAATCACAACTCATAAGAATAGACAAAGAGACTGTCATAATGAAAATGAGTCACGTTGACAAAAATGTGTCTTGGTAAATTAAGTCAACATAACTCTACAATTTACATCTTCATTTAACTTTTTATTCCATTGCATTCCTTTTGATTTAGTCACACTATTCCTTTGAGAAAATTCCGAAGGAGAAATCTAAAGCATACAGTCAGAAACATACTAGGCTATATATCTGAATGGTCTCTTGACATAGAACTGAAACACACCAGTCAGCCAACAGGGCTGCAGCTGAGCAGCTGAGCGCAACATAGTTCAAGAGGCTGATGCACCAATGAGCTTACGAAACACACTATCGACTAGCTATAAAAACACCCGGCCTATGGCTGAGCTGAGCCAGACCAACACAGAAACCACATGACACGGAAACCACACGACACCGACACAACGGTAAACTAATACAGTGACACCTCCAGTAAAATTAACCTGGTGGTCTCATATGCTATTCTGAGGAGGTCTGATTACCTGTCACTGCAATGCAGACAGCATTATCAATGCTCTTTATTCACCTGAGGCATGCAACTCAAACTACCTAGTCATATATAGTGCATTCAGTGCATACCAACCAGATGAAACCAGAAAGTTTCTGGTTCAAGTCCAAGGTGGCATACTGTTGCGGTGGTTAGCCCCTTGAGCAATAACTAAGGCAAAATACTTCTACAGATCTTGTGGAAAATTCAAAAGCTGCAGTCAGAAACTGAAAACATGTAGTATGTCAGCTGTTTATGATTTGTATGAATGTTTGTGATCTTGTGATCTTATCTTAAAAGTATAATTCCACAGATTTTACAGAGCTGTCAGTTCAACACAACAAAAGCTTTCTCTGCTCTGAAGAAAATGTAATGGGTAAAAATTGCTACAGTACAGAATCACAGACTTCTCAGCCAGGCAATGTCATGTCACAATAATTACACTTGACAACTGTGGTGATCTCAAACTTTTCTATCTGTATAGTTCAGATCACTATGAGTAACAACATGCCATAGTGAAGCCACGATATAACAATTTCACTCTGGTCTGTGGCGGTGCACATAATGCATTTTACTCTGCACCCACTTTTGTGGAAGGTATTCAATAGTCTTCAAATCTTCAAATTAACTCACTGTCTATCTGCCCTCAAAGGCCCCATTGTCAACATACCAACTAAGTCCAAAAAAGGGGAAGAATTTATGGGAACCAACTTTTTTTTCCTGACTGATGGACTAAAAGGTTGATGGTTGGTTAAACTATATAATACGGTCTCAGAGAAACAATTAAAGGACATGAAACCAAATTCAACATAAACAGTAGTTGTGGTTGGCAACAATACCTGCTTTGTTACTGTTGGAGCGAGGTAGAGTGTTTAACTGCCACTGTGCTGAGAGATGATAAGTAGTAGCATGTAATGTTGCACTCAGGGGACCAGGCAGCTAAGTGCTTTCCATAGGACATGGGGTGTGAGTGTGTGTGTGTGTGTGTGTGTGTGTGTGTGTGTGTGTAGCAGGTTGACGTTTATTGTCACAAGTCTTTTCCTGGTGGCAGGTGGTGATGCAGTGAGCATGTGTGCTTTTCTCTGCTCTGCTCTGTGTGAATGCAGTGGTTGTTTAGATCAGTACAGCAGGGCTCTGTGTGTCTGAGTGAGGCTGGGCTATTAAAGAGACAGAATGGATAGAGACAGAATGGAGAGAGAGTCAGCGAGAGAGAGAGACATGCAGGCAGGCAGAGAGATAGATAGATGGGGGGGAGAGAGAGAGAGAGAGAGAGAGGAGAGCTGCCAATACACACACACAGCTCTGCCAGAACAGCCAAAGGGAAATCAGGTGCTCATCTTAGTTGTCATATATACAGAGGGGGTCATGGAGTGTATGAAGTATTGTAATCAGTAACATAACTTTCGGATTACCCAAACTCAGTAACGTAATCTGATTACTTTCCCCTTAAGAGGCATTAGAAGAAGACAAAAAGGATCCATCAGAAGCATTTGGTGTGTCATCATAGTGGTCTCTGAGATTTGAGCCTTTTTTAATGCCGAATTGAATGTTGAGAAAACAGAAATGTGTCAATGTATTTTTTCACAAACAACCTTTCTGAATTTAAAAGTAATTCA